GGAACAATATGGTATTGGCCATGATGGGTCGATAATTGGGGAAGCTGAAGCACCACGATTTTTATTTTTTGTTTCCAAAGTATCTTCGAGCTATCTACGACTTTTGAATATTTCTACTCCGTATGTTACATCTTTTCATTGTAAACAATTTCCTGATTATTTAATTTTGTTCATTCTAAACCAAGCAAGTTCAATGCTTATTTCAATTCGTTTAATTGTTTGACTTGTTAATTACTAAGTTTTTGTATGGTATATGATACAATACTTTATAAGTTTATGATTATTTCGATCCGTACTTTGGTTAAGATATTTTAATTGTTTTAGCGATATCCAATTTCTTCCTTCCTTTTTTTAATTGTTGTAGAATGGCCCCCCTCAAAGAAGTGAAAATAAGGATTACTTTAATTTTTGCTAAGGGATCTTAATTCAATTTTGACTATTTTTTTAAACGTATGATATTTTAGATTTAAATGTAAAATCGAGAACAATTTATTCATCCATACCTAGCAATATAGATTCATTTATCAAAATAACACTCAAAACTTTTCCATTTCTGAATTTAAAAGATAATTAATGTTTGCAGGTCATTGGTGATGACATTTGTAATGGTATATTTGCTTAGCTTTAAGCTACGCGATATATTGATGACAAAGCCATTCGAATTAACATTCCGTGAATTAGGCGATCCAAACCGTTTGATACGACTTTGCACAAGTATAAGTATAGGTAAGTTCAATTTCAGTGTTTATTGTGAAATTTTATAATGTTAATGTCAAAAAAAATTGAAAAAGTGACAAACGATTCATTACATAGGAATTCAAATTTTGTCCGTTTCAACTAGAGATCAATGATGCGATTCGAAGAATGTAAAAAAAGAAAAGGAAAACATTTGGAAATTGTTTGCTTTGCAGCTCGTGAAGCGAAATTATACGATTTGGAGCATGATCTATATGGGAAATTGATTTATATTTTGCGATCTTCGGAAGCATTGATTCGTTATACGCAATATAAAATGAAAAATATTATTTAAATACTGGGAATTCAAAATTTAATCTAATTTTTAATTATTAAAGTTGAGGTTAACTTCGAATTATCACTCAGTCTTCACCTGTTAATTATTGATAAAATTAGAAAATGTGTCAGTGATATCAGGAAGCAATATAACGTCTCAGAATAACAAATTATTTATCAGTTAAATTTGTAAAATTGTTATCTTTTGTTGATCGAAATGCTTATATTGCTATTTTTTCTGTATAAATATAGGTCAGTTCAATTTCAGTGCTTATTGTGAAATTTTGAATATCATATTCATCTTCTACTAGGGATCTTTGCTTTGACAAACTTGAAAATTTTGTTAATAAAGTTAAAAAACACTTTCGAAAGTTTTGACAAAAATTTTGACTCAAAATCAATTTCTTGATTTGAAATCGATTAGTTGGAAGCAGCAGAAAAGAAAAAACTGAGAAATTTGCTGATATTAATCCAAAGCATGCTTGCAGATTTTTCATTTCAAATGAACATAAAGTTGAAATCAGTGCTTGAATATTATTTTTATAAATACTTTTAATCTATTTTGTTTCTGTATTTCTCCATGCAGCTCACTCAGCCCCATTTGGATAGTATATCGTTGATATACTAATATATCGTGGCTGGATGAATGAATTTTCTGACAGTTAGGTAGAGCAGAGTTTCTCATTCATATTTCCATGAGTCTTTAGATCTGTTAGCTGTAGATCTGTTAGCCGTTCGTTTTTTGGCTACTAAGTTCCTAATGTTTGTCGTGCAAAATTTGATACTTCATCATATCCATTTCTAGAAAGTTTCCATTATTCATATTATGATATTTTTCCTGTCGTTATGAGTGAATCTCTTTTAGGCTGAATATTTATTACTTTGAATACTTGGGAGTGGTGCAATTGATTTTCAAACACATTTTATTAGAAGGCGAATCTTTAATTCCAACTACTCTGTGCTCTTTCGACAACAATATTTTTAATTGTCATTTCAATTTTTGAAAATTTAACTCACTTCTAAATTCGAATTTGCAATCTCCCTTTTGATTTCTGCATGTGAAATTTTATTATCGACGAATAAATTAACAAAATCGGCATTGATGAGGTCATGATGTCAGCTAGATAAGTTCCAGCCAAGTTGGTTTCCATATTCGAGCAACAATAGATATCAATAGATTATCAATAAATATCCATTGCTGATATCATGGATATTAATTAAAAGATTATCAAATCTATGCTTTATGTATTCTTTCCTTTTTTTTCTATTAGGCTAAATGAAAAGTTTCTCATTTCAATAATATTTTGCTTCTTCCATAAAATACGTTTTTGCATTTTTCAGAAAGTAATATGACTTAAAATCGTAAACAAAAACTATTCACTATTATTATTTTTTTGATGAGTGATATGAACTATCTATTTTATTACTGTTTCAATTTCAGAAATCTTAAAAGTTTTGAAATTTTGAGAGGATTCATGTCTTTTATAATTCTCACATTTACAGTGTGCAAAATATTTTTGTTAACTTGTTATTTGTATTCACGCAGTAGACAGTTTCATAATAATTCACGAAAATCTGTTTGAAATGTTTGCTAAATTTGACTAATTATTCAATTTCATCTGCAATATATGCCTTAATTAATTGAGACTCTTTGAACAAAATTTTTGCTGGAATTTATAAAAATTTTTGCCGAACATGAAAAACAATAGTTCTGAAGTTCGAGTAATAGATAACATGCAAAACGTAAATTGAGAGTGGAGCCTGTTCAATTAGCAAATTAAATATCAAAACTTCTCTTACAAAAAGAAGAGTCGCAATTTGATTAAATTTCAAAAGCTTCCTTATAAGAAACAATTTTTCATGTTATTGCTGATTTCGTTTCTTTCTTCACATTATCTTTAATTCAATAATTTCAGAATTAATGATGCACACTTCTCCAGAGGCATCTCCAGAAAATTCTCCTTGTTACAACTGTCAAATTACTCAATTCAAAATCGAAATTCTCAATGCCAAAGTTAGTCTTCAATTTTTTCCTGTATTTGATATTCCACTTTTTCTTACTTCTTGCCATTTCACCATCTATCTTTTAAAAAATTTTCGCATTTACTGAACAGAAATATTAACAGTAAAATTCTTGTACGAAATTAATACCATACGACGTTTATATTTGGTTCAATTTAAATGATTTTTGATGAACAGTTAAAAATTCTTACTTCAGCTCGATGAGCTGAAAGCGAAATGTGAAGCATCCACTGATGGGCATACTTCTAACCTTTCTAAAATGCTGGTTTGTGAATATTTTATTTATTTCTCAATTTCTAAAGAAACTGAATTTAGTATACTGTAGATGACTAGTCATTATGCATTTCGAGGTGTGAGAAGAACAGAAGACTATTGATTGCTAATTAAACTTTATCTTGAAAAGCAATTAATGCTATCTGGAGTGAAGAAAAAGATGACCAAGCATAAAAATCAAAGTTATATTTTGTGATAGTTGAATATCAATATCACGAATAACTTTATTATCTCTAATGTGAGTAATATGAATGCTTAGCAGTACACTGCAGGTTATTCAGTATTAATTATAATTTAATACAAGCAAGTGAAACACAAGTAAGTCCATTATTTAACGACAGTTTATTCCATAAATAGTTCAAAATTAAACTTTAAACAGCAATTAATTCTCTTTCTTAATCACTGAGACATTATAAAATTATTCTTCTAAGCATATTGTAACTATTACTAACGATCGGAAATTTCATTTCAGCGCCGAAATGCGATGGTAACTGCGAAAGGTATGATTGATTGGAAGGTTCAATGTGTAAGTTATTTGCTAGAAAATATTTTCTAGTCAGTCAAAGCTACTGTAGTAGTTATTAAATTTGACTGAGTATTAATTATGTCAACTTTAATCAATCATCCGTTGATTGAATTTTATCGGTGTTTTGTGAGATAGTTTATACTTTGAGAATCATAAGTTAAAAATTTTCTTTTCCTTAACAATAAATGAATTACTAAGTAACATTACGACATGAAAGAGACATTAACAATCAATTATCTCTTTCTCAAACCAACAATGCCATATAATTCAAATATCCTTTTCCGGAATTTACTGGAAGAAACAGAGCATTTTAGTGTTATTCCTCCAATTTAATCGCTAAACAAGCGGCAATTTTAATGAGTGAATTAATGTTTCTCCCTATCTATTTTTAAGAAACATCTCGAGAAAAAAATCAAACAACTGCAGGAAGATGCGATCAGTGAGGGAAATGCTTTGTTATCAGAAATTGAAGAAAATCAAAATGAGAAAGATGAATTGAAGAAACAAGTAACATTTAATATTTTGCATAGTTTTGACATATTTTGCATGGTTTTTTTTCTTTCACTTGTAATAATACAAACAATACATTGTGTTTTGTGCGATTTTTAATTCTCACAAACATAAACTATTAGCTTCGGCTTGAATTCAAAGCTTCAGTTACATAACGTTGAACTCAAAATCGCCGCTCAGAACGAGAAGTTGCTGAAAATTTTCAACGAAGGTGTAAAATTAGAGGAAATGAAGCAGGTGGAATTTTCAAGTTAACATATACGGAGATCAAAAAATGTTTTTTGGTCCTACGAAAAACTCAAAATTTGATTTGATATAGGAATTTTAAATTGGCAAAGTTGAAATATGAAAAAGAATATTGTTACATCTATTGGAAAAAAAATTCCTTTCATATCGTTGTTATTGTAAATACTTTTTCATCAACTATCATGTTACTCTATTTCATTTATTCATAATGCTATTTATAAAAGAATATGGAGAAAAGATTGAGGCAAAGACTCGAAAAGCAAAAGATAGAGGTGGAAAATGCCTTGAGAGAGAAACTTATGGAGATGGAACGACAATATGAATTGAACACTTCTGAAATTGTTCGTTATAAAGCTATGCTCAAAAAATCTCATGAAGAAAATACCGAACTTTGTTATCGTTGGCAAAGAGCTGCTAAATTACTCGAAGGTATAAAATTTGCTACGACGGAGTCGGAAAATTTCCAACAGCGCTTGGAAGAAAAGTTAGGTGTTCTTGTCAAGAAATTCAGAAATGAAGCGAATAATTCCAAAACAAAAATGATGACATATGTGGTGGATAATTTTGAAGCTGCGATGAAAGTTATCCTAAGTGACGAGCCTAATCTTCATTACTTTATGCAATCAAACAAAGATTTAACTATGGTAGGAAATAACGAATTAAACAAATGGGTGAGCAACTTTTGTTTTATCTTCTGCAGTGAGATATGGATTGTTAAAATATTTCATTGGATTTAAATTAGAATAAAGCATAAAGCAAATTATGGCGATAGTTGCCAAGAAAATTACATTTTATACTGCTTTGCTAAGGACTAAGGAAAATGAGTGCTTATTATTCGGTTGTAGATTTATCAGATATTTAATAAGTAATGTTGGTTTTTGAAGAGACTGTTAAAAATGAGAGTTCATCTGATATTACCTTAATCTCATTTAGCGTTTAGTTCGGATCGCTTATTGCAAATTTGATTAGATTAGAATCAAAAAAAGTTATTAAATATTATACCATGAAAATTTTTCAGTCACAAATAACAACTGAAAACAGCAGTGAGAAAAGGAAGAAATCCGTTAAGGAAGAGCAGAAAGTTTTGTCGGTAGGTGTTTGCATGTAGAACTGTCGATAGTCTAATAATGAATATGATGGTTTAAATGATTTAATTTCAATTGAAAAAACAACTAATTTTATTAGCTATGATAGTTGTTAATATTCATAAACTCGCCAATATTTCTACAAAAAAAAAGAAAATTTTTAATCTCTTTTCCATCCAGTTTACTAGATCGATTTGTAATCGTAATCTGAAATTTTCCTGAATAGAAACCTGACTAAAATTCCCAAAATGATAATATCAAATAGTGGAATAATTTCAGGATTTTAAAAAATTTATTTCGAACATTGATTCTTTATTGAAGACATTTTATCAGAAACAAGAAACCGAGCTTGCTAACAGCACTTCGCAAATTATTGGTCGCGTAGAAAAGATAAAACAGACAATAGTTACGTTAATGAAACCTAATTCTAACCGTTGCAATAGTGTTACCATATCAATTTTGCATATCTGATCCCAGTCTAAAAATTATCATAAATTGCATTTTTACAGCAATAAAATATTTGCAAGACAATCAAAATTGAATAGGAAATTAATATATTGGTCCTAGGATTTCGATATTTAAATTCTTCACGATTTGTTCAAAAAGCGTACTTTTTTGCAACAAACTGAAAACGAAAATTTGCAGAAACGTGCGGGTGACTTAAATGATATTCTTGATGTGAACAAATTTATAAGCAGAGTTCCCCAAAATATACTAGAAGAAGTGAAAGATATGAGTGATAAATTCAAAATACTAAATAAAAGAATGAATGAAATGAGTCTGGAAATCGGATTGAGAAATGATGAGGAAGAGAAATGGAGAGAACTGATTGCAGAAGAAAACAAAGTGATGGAGGCTTGTCGGAAGATTGATCACGAACAACAGGTATATTTATTGATGACTGCAACTACAGTAAACTGATTGATTTGATTCTTTTTTTTAGTTTGATTTTATGAAATTGAAACTCACGAAACTTGATATTCTTCAGTTTCCGAAAAATATTAATTCGGGATTTTTCAAGAACTCGAAAAACAATTTTTTAAGTTACGAAAATGCACGTTTTAGGAACTTGAATTTATACTGAACAGAGCAGAGCTAAAATATGACCAGTTATATAGACAGATCTATCTTGGCAGTAATACAGTACTGGAAGGCTCATCTAGGGAAAATATCCGAGAGTTCATTGAAGACTAAGAAATAAACCCGCTTTCATTATATTGGTCATGCTCTCAAAATGAATTGTACTTGTATCGGATTGTTCAGTTTATGCATTGTTCTACAAATTTCAGTTTTTTTTTCAAATTTCATCAATAAACTTAATGAGACATTTTTCTCTTCAAATTAAAATTATATTTGAAGCGGAAAGATTAGCGACTGATTGTACAATAACTCTGAAAATAAATCGGATCAGAATGGGACACCGGAACGGTGTGGTTGTTTTCCATGTAATCATTTCTCCTTACCTGTTCTGCATCTAATTTCTGCTACAAAGTCCAATTTTAATGCTTCATAAAATACTCTTGTAATGTTACATTACAATATATGAATTAACGTTCCATCTTCCTTACTCTTCTGTACTCATTAATTGCATTTACAGTATGTACATCAAAACAATATTTGTTCATGGTGGTGTTCCTTTCAATGTTAGCTTATATTTCCAGAGTTTTTTATCCTATATTTGTTAATACTCGTCACATATTACATATTATACTTTTTTTTCCTTACTTACTAACCAACATATTGACTGTCAAAAAACTTTTAACTGATAGAGATGCTGAATACTGTTCGTTCAATGATTCAGTTCGAAGTGATCATTTTACTGCGCCTGGTGACAAAGTAACAGAAATTTATCGCTCAGTTCACAGCATCAGTTTTTTAAAGTGGAAGGATGCTCTCTGTTTTCCATACTTTAAGCCAATCGTCTTTTTCACTACATATGTTTGATGATGAAGCTGTATTATATGGGACATAAAACTTTTATGCATACTTCCAATCCGTTTCAATATGAAGATATTATTTGATCCACTCACATTTCTTCATTCGTCTTTAAGAACCTGTAGGTAATATATTCAAACATTCGTTGGAATATTTCGTCCTGTAAATGATGATTACTATTAGATGACTTCTCAATAGTCATCGGATATAAAAGAATTCTTTTTTCTAGGGGAGATCAGGAATCTTCTTATAGTCCTTTTTCTCACAGCTTTAATCCGTCTTCGTCACCAACTTATTTAAAAAATGTTCTTATCAAATGAAAATTTTTAAATTGATGCTGTTATTAATGAATTTTAGTTGCATTTTACAGGTTTCAACCTTCTAGAGCATCTTTTGTCGTATGGGAAGCGCTGTTGCAATTTTCATCGAGATTCCCAATCAAACCCTGCAACTTTTCTTCCAGTTTTTCGCGCCTTTCACGTTCTTCATCAAGCATCCTAACAAAAAATGAAGTTTTAATAAGGACTAAAATTAATATCCAACTCAAGACTTCAACTTTTTATTATACTGCGACATTGATTTATCTCTCAATTAGATAAATTGTTAATTGTCAAGAGGAGATAAATTCCTAATATAAAAAGTACAATCTTTTCAATAAACGTCAATTTTGATGTTATGTAACTCTATCCGTTTATCAATTGTCACATTCATTTCTTCATCTCTCTAAATTCTGTCGTTCTAACGCAACATCTTTAAGGCATATATACCTAGCAGCTATCGTTCTAACGATTTCCTCGTCGCGAAGGGCCCTTCTTTGATCATCTAACAATTGCATCAACCTTTCATTTTCACACTCCAGTGCCAATCTCCAGGACAAATTCTTGTCTCGTAGCACACGACACTCTGTGCTACGCGAACATTCTCGGTCATAATTCTGTAAATCCTCCCTCGATCTTTGCTCTATAGCCAAATCCATCACTATAATTTCACTTGTGATAAAAACTGATTCAATACCGACCCTTTATAAAATTTTAATTCAGTTCGAACAACAACATGGTCTCGCTTCCGCAGAAGAGAGTCCATATAGTGCTAGATGAATTAAAGAGTTATTACCGAATATCCAGTGTTTCCGTCGCAGCTCATCAAAGTGACCAAATTCGTATTTCTGTTTCGATTCTGCGATAACTAACCATGTAAATCGCTCCTCATCGAATGTGCCTATCTAATGGATATTATTATGAGCTTATTAGCTATAGAATTTTAAAGTTCTTGCATCGTCTCTTGCTTTTAAAATTAAGCATCTCATGATGTCGGTCAAAATACTAAAAAAAAACCTCAACTTACAATGTGGATAAAGTATCTTTTCGTCTCATTTTCTAATTAGTTATCAATGATGAGACTCTTTAGTTCCATGAAGAGACCATCAGTTATTTTTGAGAATGAAAAAAAAAGTCTTCACAACACCGTAGTATGGCTTACTCTGAGCTTTTCTTTCCCCATACTTTTTTTATTTCTGTGATAACAATGGTTACATAATATCAATCATGCGGAACTACATGTTCTGAGAATTTCTAATTGATAACGAATCGCTCTGTTAGCACAAATGATCAAACAAACAGAATAATGATCGTATAATTTTGCTCGTTAATAAGAAAAAACCAACTTGAACAGATGATGTCTGATCGACAACAATTGTTCTCCTGTTTCTAACAATTGTCGACTTATGCAAAGGCCACAATTGTATCGCACCAGGTGTTATGGTACACCAATAAGCTCGCCATTTGGAATTATTGCTTCCTATCAGGCAATGCTTCTTTTTATCTCTTTTGTTGCAGTGCAGTAGAAAGCCCTGGGATTGAAAATGGAATAGCTACAACTATCAAAAAAAAATAATACTTTACTATCTGGTATACCAATGGCAGACATTATATCATCCTAAATTTAGTTTCGTTTTCTGGAAAATGTGTCAATAATATTTATCACCTTGTTCAATAAACTTTATATATAGCCTTGAGCTTAGATTTTGGATATGCAAAAGGAAAAAGGTAACACCGTGATTATAGTATCTGACGCATAAAAGACTTGTAAATCATATTTGAATTTTCATATAATCTTAGTTTACAATCATCAACTTGCTTTTCGTCTGGAGTGTAGTACATTTCACAATCTATGCGCTACGAACTATATACAGCATTACTGATAAGTAAATGTACCTTTTGTACTACTCGTTATCTTTTTCATTTTGCTTATTTGTCGTGTTTAATCAAATTTGCAGAACTTCAAAACCAAGTGAAAAAGTGTTAAATTACTAACGAAGAAGCACAGATCACATTAATAAACCAAGTCAATGGGAAACTAACGCTCACACTACGTGATTAGCAATTAGCATAGTACGCTGTTCGCAGATTGGATCCGAGAACTGTAAAGTGTCAGCCAGATAAAGCCCAAATTCAATATTTCCAAATTTATTTATTTCTCAGAATAACTTTAGAAAAACTCCACAAACGGCAGACCTTACAAATAATGTGTTGTACATATCGCTCAAAAACCCGATCTACCAATGGTTCGAATTGTTTTCGATCCGGGAATAGTAAATCACACATCCGTAACAAATCATGGAAGGTTATGATGTCGGACTGTATCAAAGTTGATACACCGTTCTGCTCAGTTCCACGATTTAACCTGGAACGATTACAAATTTGATCGCTCTTTCATTATCTCCTCGAAAATTGAATAAATGAGATACAACTTCTTTTTTCTGCTATTTAACATTCCCGATTCAATAATTCGCCCTGATTATTCTGGAGATTATTTTCAATCTATTTTTTTAACCATTTCTTGTGCGTCTTCGGATAACTATTTTAAAAATTGCCTATTTGCGCCCGAAAATGATCACCTGAATAACTGTCCGATGATAAAGTGTGCTTGATGTGGACTTATATGGCGTTGATTATCACTAAATACAGTAAATATTCGATGAAGACGTTGCAGCAATGGATCTTCAGTGAATATATCCACATTTTTCACTGGTGAGGCTGATGATTCTTGAGCCATTCGAGTTAACTAAATTTATCTCATCATAATTTAGCAGGATTCGCAAGCGTATATATTGGAGTTGGGATAGTTTAAACACCTAAAAAAATTTCTAAAGCTTGAATTTTAGTAAGGCCGAAAAAGAAAAATTATGCTATAGCATGAATGAATCCAATTCAAATAAAATTATTTCAGATCACTTTTTCCGAATGATAAGAAAAGTAAAGACAAATAGACTAACTTATGTTAACATAATTTTTATGAAAGTTTAAAAGGAAATCAATTTAGGGAGCATGATCATCGCCAAATATAAAATTACTATCCGATCGAATTAAGAAAAAATAATTGAGATATCTTTTTAACTGCAAATAACAAAACCTGCCTGCATAAAAAATATTTTCAAAAACGCGTCTAACAGGGTAGCATTAATTAAACTTGAAAACATGTAAATCTATTCCAAAATTAATGCCTCGGAAAAGTATTAAAACGACTACTGCGTGTGAAATATATCAGATGATAATATAATATATCACATGATAACACATGATAATATAATTTCCTTACTAGATCATTGAGCTTATAATGCAGAGATAGCTTGTAAATAGCTTCAATCTAATGAATAGTGGACTCCGCTAATGGATATGCATAACGATTAATTGAGAGCACTTCGTTAGTTACAGTTCAATGTCAACCCTACATTCTCCTTTACCACAAGATAGTAAGACTTATATACCAGAACATGTATGAAAAATAAATTAATATGAAAATACATCTAGAAATTGCAAATAATAAAATCATATATAGATAATAGAATACGAAAAATAGGAGATCAAAACAGGAGCGCAAATGGGATATATTGTATAAGGCGATTTCAAACAATTATTCGTTCAGTAGGCTGGATAAACAATGATCATAAATGAAAAATGGAAACTATTTTTCAACAAAATTACACAATCAGCTTCCACCGAAAACAAGAATAATTCATATTGAAGAGAAATAAAATTGATAACTGATTATACTTCAATATAAATAAAAAACTTATTTTGGAAGATTTTAAATTTTATAAATTCCTTAAAAAATGCTGATGAAAATAGAAAATATTGCTACACTCATATAATTTATCACTATAGCTTCTTTCAAAGTTAAATGCACGCATATTAAACATTATCATAAAGCGTACCTTTTTACACTATTAGTTTAGAAATGAAAATTAATCGCTTTCCTCAAACACGATCATTATAACACCGAATAATTTCCCCCATATAAAATAAATACCAAAAAATATGTCGCATATCACAGCACACAGGTAGAATTACCTAAACATACACACACATGCATACAGACATATATAGCCACGTATAAACTAGATAATAGAATTAAAAATGAAATAGAAGAATCTAAATATCTAAAAAATAGCATGTTTTCTTGCAACCATGTAGGCAAGCGTCGGCGATGAAGCTGAGGGGTGGATGGATATATTATATGGCGCTAATCTGTGTGTGTGTGTGTGTGCATGTGTGGCCGTATGCGGGAGTGTATGTGGGATATCTATCGAAAAGTGGAATGAGAAGCGCCGGTAACAGCTGATCCTTCCTTCGTCCACAGAGATGCCAACTGAATGATTTTTTTTCCCACCAACAACTTCAAATATTTCCATCGTAAAGATGTATGGTGTGAAGAGAGAATTATTCGAAATGAAACAATGATGCATACAGCAATGACTTACGTGTTTATTTACTTTAGACGCACGTGTTTCTCTCCATATACACAATTCATCTAATTATCCGTTCGTTGCGTAACTAAAGAGGCGGCAACATTGTGATGCAATTACTCTCTTATTTCATTTTTCAGTGACAAGAGGAAATTTCAAATACCAACTGTTAGCATTCTTTCCTGACCTGTAATCCCCGAGAATATCGACCATCTGCTATGAAAGAAATGGAGAGTTCGATGACTAAGTATGACAAAAAGAGTTCGCCACCACCTGGTAACGAAACAGTTCATACCGTATACTTTGGTTAATAATTGGAGGCAAAAACGAGCTAACCGGTTTTACCCCTCCCAGCTTTCATGTAGCAAAGATTAATATGTTCGATCACGTGCCATATGAAAATCTTTGAACTGGCAGAAAATGAGACGACGAGGGAGGAGCGATGTCAGCAGCTCTTTTTCCCATTATTCTATCCTTTTTTTCCTTATCAGATCGTTAACCACCACTCAAACACAATCTTTGATCTTTTGTCGAATTTAGGCTTATAGAGAAGTGAACTGACACCCATTTATATCGATTCCATTTAAATCTGCCCCACATTCATAGTATTTCCGCCTTTTCCATTTACTTTCTTATCATTTCTACATTTGTCACACAATTCTGCCTATACTATGTTATCAGGAAGTCCGTCTTTTTTCTTCCTATCCTAGAATTAGATTGATATGATGTTAACCAATCCTATGTTACTTTTGTAGTCTTTCGTTTTTTCATGATGTATTCAATACAAGCAATAAAACCACTGAACATAAATGCACAAATGCTCAGTAACTATTGAACATGATGCACTCATCTGCTTACCTTTCCTAATGTCTGTGTTGTAGATTTGATTTCATTTTAGACTATTTACCATTTATTTTGACACAGTGAATAATATGGAGAAAATGGATGGATATTAAATGCATATTTCAGCTATACAAAATGGTTTGTGAATGTACATTAATATCGCTTGGATGGGTTCTCTTATTGTATTTGCTTTGTCGTTTGGCCACAGTTCTTTATAATCTCATTTATCCGTTCTTTCTTGCAACTCCAATCAATGTACATAAAGCTGCTGGTGCTAAATGGGCAGGTAAGGGATATTTGCTTCTATTGATTTCTTCCAATGGCTAAAAATGAAATTTAAATACCGCCATAAGAAATAGTACATCATTTTAACAGTGCACAAAAAATCGCTGTAAATTTGAGAGTTTGGGAATGTAGTTAACATTTATAATAAAAGTGCTCATTTTACTGTTCTCAGTTATTACCGGCAGTACTGATGGAATAGGAAAAGCTTATGCTTTCGAATTGGCAAAACGTGGTTTCTCTACTATTTTGATATCGCGTAGTCAAAGCAAGCTGAATGCAGTAATGGAAGAACTTAAAAAAGAATGTGGAGTCGAGGTTTTTGTATCTTCTATTCCTTTTCTTCTTAACTTGTTTGTGTTGTTTGTTAATTCTTCCATTTTAGTTTTGTTGGCACGAAAGTTATCAAAAAGATTTGTTGCTTTAATCAGTTTTCCGTTACAAACGAATGTTTATTCATTTTTTGAGCACTGAATTTCTATTTTGTTTGTGAATGAGGGTAATGAAATTTAATTATAACCTTTTATACTATCTCGTCGAAACCCATTCAAAATTCAACAATTAGATAGAAAAAATCGGGAACCACATTATTAGTTTACATTACTAGTTATTTCAAACAAAGCGATTGAGAAATGAACATTTATTGATATTACTCTTACTTACTGTTTGGACGAAAATAAGTATTCACACTTATTAAAAAAGATGAGACTTAGAATTTCATTTATTTTTAAGTAAACATTAAACCATATTTATCATATTTATAGGTTAGAACTATTGCATTTGATTTCGCCAGTGGAAGTGTCGATGAATATGAAAAGACAGTACTGTCGATGCTGAGAGAGTTAGATATCGGCATATTGGGTAAGAGTTCCATATCAGCGTAATGCATTTATTGTTTGGTGAACAATGACAAAATGTGTAGCGCGAAATTTTGATATTTTGTTTTCTGAGATTCAAGTTTGAGGTAGTTCCTCTGTAGTAGAGCATTTCTCGCAGGAGTCATTTTGAAAATGTAGAGCTTGCAAAAGTGAAACAAGTTAACAAGTCATCACTGGTAGCAGATCTAGAAGCGCGTTCCTGAAACGTGATAGTAAGAAATGACAAATCAGAATTGTAATTACAAATTAGATTAGAATCACCTTCTTGTTAATAACTCTTTTGTACATGAATATTGTATATATCTTTTAAAATTGTATTTATTCTACGCAGTAAATTATTTACAGTCAACAACGTTGGTGTAAGCTTCAGTTACCCGGAAGTTATCCATAAGGCAGAAGGTGGCCTCCAAAGACTTGCAGATGTTGATATTGTCAATACTCTTCCTGTAACTCTGGTAAGTTTAAACAAACTTGTTAATTATTCATTTGGATTTTCAGGTTCTCTTTTTGGAAAAGAATGGATAATAAATAGTATATCTACTCGTCTGAAAACCACATTTATTTCTTCAGAATTTTTCCACTGATTTTACATAACTTTTTGGACTTTTTTACTTGAAGCACGAATTTTAATCGAAAAAATTTGAAACAGTTGTTTTATAAAATAAATCATCTTATTATATTTAAAAATGTTTCATGTCATGCTGAGATTCAATTCGAAGTTCTAAAGATTTATTTTCTACATAGTGCACTGAAATTTGCCAACTAGTTATCATCTCATGTTTTGCAGTTGTCTGCTGCAATATTACCTCAAATGGTTCAGCGTAATAATGGCATCATTATCAACATATCTTCTGCTACTGCATATAGTCCACTTACTTTACTCAGTGTATATTCAGCATCAAAGGTATTAATTTTATTAAAAATTTACTTAAAATATTATTTAATTCAATTCATTACTTCCTGAATGTGAGTAAACCCTCATATAGTGTCAGGTTATTTTTTATCATACAAAATATCTGTTGTATTCCAGAAATATGTCAGTTGGTTTTCAAATATTTTGCAAAAGGAATACGCACAAACGAATATAATCATCCAAACCGTATGCCCCATGCTTGTTACTACTAAAATGTCCAAGGTTATATTTCTGGGTATTACTTTCACAAAATGACTCACACAGTTGTAATAATTGGTTGAACTCTTTATCTTATTCAGGATATTTTGCAAATTTTCAAGTATGTAACAAGCTAAATCTTTCATGCTGCAAAGCTTCTAATAATTAATCACAAACCTGTTGTTATCGTTCGATTTGAAAGAGAGTGCTTACAGGTTTCGCGTGCATCATTCTTTTTTGTAACAGCTGAAGATTTCGCGAAAAGTGCAATTCAGACGATTGGAATCATGAATGAAACAACCGGTTGTTTTCCCCATCAGTTGCAAGTCTGTTTGTTACTGTTTTAAATTGCAGCTTCGTTTTTTGTGATATGATAATTGATTTTTAACATTTACTTTTTAAAACTTCATCCTCAAGGTTGAAATCATAATTTCAGGTTGAAATTATAAAAAGCTTGCCAGAATGGATCGTTGTGCCGTACTTGAGTAGGAAAAGTAAACTTGTTCGCAAGAAAGCACTTGCAAAAAAGGTACGCGAGATGAAGGCTACTTCATGATTACCACTTTTATTTTTTATTTCGACAGCATTTTGTCTCTTTTGCCATTCTATTGGATTATTTTTTATTCACAAATTTGCCTCCTGTCGAGCGCAGTTATCTATAGCTTTCCATCCAGATTACGGGATGTATGTTCTAAGTACCTACACATGTATACTTTCGCAAACCTTTCCAATTACTTCCAAAATATGTTGAAAAAGAATGTGAAAGTCAAAAGGGTCAAAGATATAAATGGAGACGGCATCTGGTGACTCAAACAATTTATCTTTTCACTGGCACTGTTACTGACTTACAGCTTAAATTTGCATCCTTATTCTGATTCTGTTCAGTTTATTTCTTTAATCTTTGTTAATTTGGAAAAATCCTATTGTTGCTTAAAACGTTTCCATTTTCAAAAGTTATAGCAGATTGCTGTTGGAGCAATACTAATTCCCTCTCTAAGCATATGAAACTAACGAAACAGTACGTAAACTCTTCGTCAAATACTTATTTGGTAAGTAGAAGATAGTTAACAGATGACAGATTGAAGCCGCTGATAAAAAAACTGTCGAGGTCTGGAGTTCCAAAAGTTTGGATTTTCGTTTACAAAAATGATAATTAATAAAATCCTGTGGTTCATTCGTTCTGGAGGCATCCTTTTGTCTGTCTTTATCCTTTGGAAAAGAAGAACGTAGGCTTACGATTCCATTCAAACAGAAACCTAATAGAGTCTTGACAATCGAAATAGAGATCTCGTACCAAGCCAAGAAAAACATAAGAGCATGCTCCGATGCTGTCCAATTGCTGGCTTTTCTTTACCATAATCTGGTTGGATTTGATAACTATGAACTTTGGATACCTAATTTTAAATCTATAAATCTTACAGCGAATGCCGCAGCCTCTGTCTATAATAATACTAAAATGTAGTTCGCATATCAGGAAGGTAATAAACCAATCTATAATATATTTCTTTCCAACGAAAAACACGATGTGTAATTTACTGTTTCCATTTCACTTGCATTCTACAACATTTTTTCAAAAGCGAAACATCCCTTCTTACGGAACAGTTAGATAAGATACAAAATTGAAGTCACAGAATTGAGTATAAAAATCTGCGTCCTCCACAGTGCAACTCTGTATATGTAAAAACATGCGCAGTAGAACGGCAAATTAATCGAGGTCCATGTGGTCGTCAGATTTATTCTCCGCTTCGCGAACAGCCTTTTCATTGGTTTCTTCATCTTCAACATCTGATTCCATGCCTACAGAATTAACTGACATTGCTATGATTAATATCTTGCACAATTACAAATCTCATTGCAGTTTTAAATTGTCGGTCAAAAGATTTCAGAATTTTGAATCACAGTATGCACTTTGAACTAAAATTTGTAATAACTTCTAGCCAATGTACTCAACAGCTTACCAGGATGGGATAAAGTCTCGATTTTCGCTGCAGCTTTTTCCTTACCACTCTCGCTCGCCGTAAACTGTGTCGCCCATGCAATCATGTCTGCAATTTTTAGTGATGAGATAAAGAACCTTCAAGAAGAAGCAATGCTACAGCCTTTTCTTAAATATTCCAAAATCAGTTTGCTCGATTTTTTTATGATCCAGAAGTATGGGAATGAAATTTACCTCCACTTCCGGCAGCTGTAGCTGTATTTCCATCAATGCCGAACTGTCGCAATACTGGTGCAAGCTGTCCACTCTGCAACGCATGACCGAAAATATCAGCTGCTTGTCGAAATTGCGGTGTACGAAGTGTTTGTTCCAGTTCTTCTTGCTTATTGTAGATGGGCTCCTTGATATAAAGAAAATTAAAATTATAGATGCAATATTTTCATAGTGGAATATCTGGCGTGACTAATTATAATTCTAGTGAGTCCTATATAAATCTATGGAATATTTAGTTAATGACAGAAGTTCTCCTTCCAAAATTCAACTGGCTAGTTTAAAATCTGAAGCTGAATTAGCTTTCCTAATTACCATTAGTAATGTTCACATTGCTGTTTTATTCATCTGCTGAAGATCAATAATTTTGAAACATTTTAATTTGGATTGAAATAAAGTTCGGGACCATTGTTTGCTATTTTTCAGAAGCGTAACAGGAATCTCTATGTTAGGAATTTATGACCGCAAAGTAAAATTTGAATCCCTCCAATAAAACTAACACTTCAACTATACTGTTTATACATAAATTTTATATAATAATAATTTTCGACGCATCGTTTTAGTTGGTTAACTTCACTAAAAAAAGCGCCTTCATTACATATTTGCTAGTAGGCTACTAGTATTGATTTGTATCTGCAATTATCGTTCGCTGCTACTGCAAGCAACAAATAGAGGCACGAAGTTCTCTTTTGAAAGTTGTACCTCCGACTTATTTTTCCACGCAACTTAGTTATTGTTGCACATTTGGATACTATATAAATAGTTCGGAAAAAAACATACTTGATTGGGCAAATGAGGAGTTAGTCGTTCAGTATATTTCACCAGAACATCGTTGATTTTGTCAGCACAGCAGAGCACATCAGTGAAATCAATTGGAACTAAAACGGATATAAATTTACGGATGAAAAAAGACGTATTACTTTCATTCTTTGAGCGAAAAAACAGTCGTTTCTAATGTTAAATAAAAAAGAGTGAGCAATTCTGAAAATTCTAACTTTGAAAAACGATGTTATACTACAACCTGCACTGACAAATAAATCATAACTTTACTCTTTTGACATATCATCAAATAAATATCTCTTATAGTATGCTCATTTCCTTTGTGATCCCCGACCAGAAAATTATTTTATTTACAATTAAAAAGCAGAACCCTGAATAATGTTGTTTTTTAGTGTAGCAGAACACTGGATAATGTTGCTTTTTTCATTCTCTCGTCAGAAATAAAATCCCAATATAAGGAAAATTTTGGGTTCGTTTACAAATCTTCTGAAAAAATGAAAGAGAGCACAGTATCTAGACTATTTCGGGACCTACTTTTTCTTCCGGATCCCTCAGGTGGCGTTATACTTGCAATAATTTCTTTCAACTGCGACAATTGCACTGTGTTATTTGACGAGCTGCTGGCAACAGCCCCATTCGCAGGTGTATTGGATGGTGTTGCTCCCTGTGTGGATGTTGCTTCGCTTTCTTCTGATGTTACTCTAAAAATTATTTCACCCACTATCAAAAATGTTAACATCTTAGATTTTAAAGCGAATTAATATTTCCATTTTTAAGGTACTGCCAATATTTTTTAAGGTAAAAACAGTGCTCTTTCTATGATAACATTAAAAAATGAAAGCAAATATATTTAAATTATCTTGAAGTCATTAATTTTGAGTTAATTATCTCGAAGTCATTAATTTTGAACGTTTACTTTCTTTTATAAAAAAAGCCAGAAGTCATATTGAATTATTTAAAACGAGGTTTCAAAACCTTGCGTTTTTCTTTTGTTTTTATTTGAAACTCGATAATCTTATTATTCTACCTCTTACCAGAGAAATAACAAAAAAACAAAGTAATTTTCCAAACTGCTTAAGGCGATGCTAATGCTAATGTTAATATAGGAAGAATAAACAGAAATGACGGGAGTAAATTATTTCCAGAATACTGCCTCTTCTAGATACAATTTGGAATTAAGGAAATTTACGCAAAAATCAGAAATCTAACGGATGAGGCGCATCGGTAACAAGTGGAAGTTGCGGCAAAAGATTGGTTGCTTCACTAGCTGATGTGCCGTTTGTATGATTCATAAGTGAAAGTAATTGCATCAGTTGACTTTGATCTAGATTTCCTAGTGCTCCAAGTTCACCATCCGCACCCGTACTGCCCAAAGCTGCTAAAGTGCCGAACGATGAAGCACTAGCACGGTCAGTTCCTCCGCGTGCTGCTGCTCGTGGAGCTGGAGGATTATTTAACGTTTCATTTACCTAGAACACAAAATCTCTTTACTCGATGTATTTCTGAACAAATTCAAATCGAATAATATAAAGAAAGAAAAAAAGCATCTCATAGCTGGCGACTTAGTAGCTCTAAACAATTATTTTTGTGTCGCGAACTATAACCAAAGCCAGCAGTTCCAAGTTACATGGTTGACGCTAATAACAATACCAATTCCGTGAGAATATATCGAAAATCATGGTGTTTTATGATGCCATGATGTAAAAGAGCAAAACACATCGCAGCGATATTATCGTTTAAATGCTGCACTTTTATCATTTACTAAAAAAAGACTGTCTATTATAAAAGATTAATTAACACATAAATAGAGAGAAACTAACTTTTTTGCAATTTTCATCATCCTTATCAGTTTTACCATCTTGCATCCAGAATAGACGTTTCTCATCCGTACTTTTAAATTTCAACATATAGACGCGACCATCCGTACATTCCTTTACTCGTAAAAATTCTGTGTCACCAGGAAAAATGATCAAATCCTTCAAAGAAATTTTTGGGATTTTGTTTGTCAAAATTTGTCAATAACAGTTGTTTTATTTGACTTACGAAAGTCTCCAAAAATACTCTGCAGTTTCTTTTCACAGTACTCTAAATTCTTTTGTGAACGGGAAGAATTCATCTTCTCTCTTCTTCATCTTATGCGGTTGCTCATTTCTATAAGACTGTGTGACAAATTATTCAACCAAAAATTGATATGTTAATGTACTATTAATTTCAATTGGAACTGTTAGCCATCGTACGCCAATTTTTGACCCCTAATGTATTTTAAAAACTGAAAGTACCTAAAAAATTTCAGTTGTTCACATCGACAATGAACCATTCATTTTCTTCATCATTATAAAATAAATAATAGTGGGAAACGCAGTAGAAAAACATAAGTACAGAACATGGACGAAAGATTCATTTTTTCTGGCTTTCTTTTTGTCCGCAAAAAAAATTATCACTAAATTTGGATGAAAAAAACTGCGAAATATAAAGCGAAAGAGAATAAATCGTAATAAGAGTTGTTATCATACTTTTGAAATTATCACTAACAGCTTAACTGCATCTTGAATATTTTGAATTTTAAATAAAAAGAATGTATTAAGGATATCACTAACATCCACAACCGCTCCAGTTTCACGATTTTTCCAGCAAAAATGCATGAGTTGATCACTAGATTGCTTGATGAAAACTAATCCTTTCGTTTTATCAGCCACAACCTTTCGTCTGTCCACCGTCGAGCCTGCTTGCAAATTTGATCGGCCGGCCTTAATCAATATTTACTTTCAGTATTTTAATCTAAACTATAAATTATAAACTGAACATGATATTCGCGAATTAAGTTGTTAGTATTTCACACCATTTTGCTTCAGCCAGCGAAATCAAAAATGATATTTATGGCTGGTTTAATGTTCTCAAAATGTATCGCTATATGCGTGCAAGTAAAACTCATACAGATATAAAAACAGAAATATGAAAAGTTACCTTGAACTCAACTAAATAACCATTATTTGCTTGATTAGATCGCGAGTTCGCAAACATAATACTCATACTGACAGAGATTTATGGAAATTTTTATCAAATGTTCTTGGATCTCTGAAAATTAAAATCTCAAATTCAGAAAAGCAATGAATTAAATTGCAAAACAGAAGCTTAGAAAATCTCTGCAAGCCATTCAATAGCTTATGATGTAAGCACTTCTTTCTTCGATGCTTGCAGAACTAACAGTAACTACACCAGTAATTCCTGCTTGATTTTACTTATAATTGTCCAACAAAAAGAGATTCAATTGATCTTCTGTTCTCCAATTTCTTGAAAGTCTTTGCATGCTACTAGCTTGTCCTAAACGGCTTAGCATAATCCTCTCCCTTCCCCTACCTAAAAAAAACCTGTAACATTAAGATCAACTCAACATAGCCTTCAATTTGATTTTAATCATGTTCTATTCTCTAATTATTGAGCAAAAGACCCTGCTGCTTAATCCCATTTATATTGCGAAAATCATTAAAACATGTTTTCCTTCGTCGACCAAATATTTTGAATCAATCTTGATGAAGTTTTGTGAACAGCAAGCTAGGAGACTTGAAAAAAGGAAAAATTATAAAACAACGATAGTTGAGTGAAGCAAATAACTGAGAGTTTCGAACCTTTGAAAAAATAAAAACAAGAAAAATAATAAGTCGATGCTTTTATTCAAATAAAACATGAGAAAATAAGAGTCTAGTAAAAACCGAATGCCATTTATATTGATTTATTTTTTCATATCATGAGAAATACAGATAAAAAAAATACAAATAAGCGGCACACATATCCATGTACATATCCATTATACAATGAATCGAAAAACATTTCACATCTTATCATTTTTCAGATAATTATCAATCTGAATGCAATTATGTGTTTTTTCCGTCGCTCAAATTTATTTCATTAAATAAGTTGCAATGAAGGATTTGCAATAAAACAGTTGAAGCTAAACTTCTAGAAGTTCATCTTTTAGCGATTTGAAAAATACACTCGAATTCTGACTCTCCAAAATATCCAAGAGATCTTTTTGTGTAAGAATATGAGATAGCTTCGCAAGATGAACATGATAGCGTAGAATATTATTGTCAAAAACTGAATGATCAGCAGCTTTTGATAGAATCTGAAAAGTTTGTGAAAGGCAACTAACTTGTGAGATAATGGTAGGTAATCTTTTAGAAATGCATTGACTTAATCTTTTAAAGTTAAGATTTGCAACGAAGCTTAAAATACATGAACGGCAGCTATAGAATTTTTAAATTATACACCATAAAATTCGAATATGCCGTGAAACGCAGAAACGTTACAGCAGTACCACAGCAAATACCACCTTTGATGAAGTCAAGCGTCGAAATGTTACAGATAGCTCACAATTCTATTTAAAAATAGAAACAGAAGGAAATATGTTTTTCGAATCTTCTCAAATTTTGACGGAAAAAAGTTCGAAAGTTAGACGCGATAAAATTAAAAGGACACCGAAAAAAGAAAAAGGATACCTCGAGAGCCGGTTTCAACTCTAATGAGGGAGAAATTTTCCAGTCGGAATAAAGCATTACTGTAAAACCATGCAATGGATTTTTATAGACACCGCCAACAGAGCAATCATAAACAACCATAAATGGAAACGTCTGAAAAGTTTATCTAAAAATTCAGTTAAAAAATGTTGAGTTATCTAGTCCATAATTTAAAATGAACAATTCATACCACAGACGAGAAATGCTTTGTAACAATTGGAGTTTCTTTGATAAATGCCATAATGAGATCACCACGCCGACCAGTTAACCAATGATTCAGAACCAAAAAGAGTGATTGTCGCAGTGAATCTCTAGTGACCGAATAAGTAACGAAATACGAAACAAATTCAGGAACTTCATCAGCCAAAGGTAAGAGATATTTGTGCTAGAAACTACAAAAAGATGAGTGACATCGAAAGAAAGTTGATCAAAATGTAGAGAATTGTCAATGTAAAAAAAAATATCTTCGATTTTCTAAATTTCCCTGTGTAAAACCTCTGCAATAATTTCTTCTTGTTTTGCTAATGACAATACTAACCTTTTCTCTCTGCCTGATATTTTAACCGCTACAGATATGTTGAATTATCTGAAAAGATTTACTAAAAAAGCCCACCTGCTGTAGAGTTGCAAAAAACTCATGCTATAAGGGAAAGGCTTGACTAGAAAAATATCTGAAAAAGTCTAACCAAATTAGAATCATCTGGAATAAAAATGTAGTGATCGACAAGTTGGGAAACAAATTGCTGTGCATATGACTTTCCACTGCCAATCTGGAAAAAAATTTTTTTTTGCAACCATGCGCAGATGATACATTAAAATTCTTTCGACAGACATCAATTTAAAATCATAACCTTATGTAACCACTGCGAAATATGGTTCAGCACTGAATAACATGGATACTGCACTGCCAGTGAACATAAGTTAATTAGCAATGAAATACGTGTTTCGTGCAAAAGTGGTTCGCCCTCACGGCCACAAAATATCGCTTCAAAATATGAATACTGATGGCCGCGTGGTTCAGATTCTCTTTCCTGAAAAGTGCTGTAGCAATTGCAGTGTCTATAACTTCGAAATAAAACTAGAATTTTATGAACAACTAATTATTTGGTAATGAAGCGAACAACTAATTATTTGGTAATGAAGCGTAAGTACGACCATCCAATATTCAATGCATATTTCTTCGTAGTGCAGAACTTTACAAATTTGGTTATATATCTTGCAAACCATAACTTGAAAATAGCATTTTTTTCAACCGCTTCAAACTCCTAACATATATTTCTTTATAATCAGCAAACATTTTATAATCAGCATGTTTTTGCACTACCTAGTGATGAGATCGCGCAGTTCAAATTTGGACAACCATCAGAGCAATCTGTTGTTACCTTATGCGAATATTATTTATTATCAAACATTATTCTAATTTATGATTCTTTCAAATATTTACATGAAAAATATCTTGAAAATTAATATCACTAAACGAATTTACCAGAAATTAATGTATTATTAAGTTATTGAAAAAAATGCACACTATACGCCATACAATAGAGTTAAAATAAAAGAAAATCTTACTTTAAAATAATCGCAAAGAATCTGCATGAGACGTAGCTGTTGTATTTGATTCAACCGAGATACTCGCCGATCTGGAGAAATGCAAAATAAATCATTATCCAGTTGATACTGTAATTCATTGTTTCGTAGTGCTGCAGGACCACGCCATTTCTGTCCTTGCTGACCGCAAATTTTCGTTACCTCAAGCAATTCTCGATATCATAGAGATTTCACAATCGAAATATTCAGTGCATAAAAAGTGTCCATATAGGTGTCTTAAGCTAAAAGATAAAGGTCAAAATCAATAAAGTAATAGAATCCAGCTTGAACGTTCTTAAAGACATTCCGATCCATCAACGATAAGTCGAACCAAATTAAAATCACCTATTTGGCCACCTAAATTACACAACAATGAGACGGAAACGACTGAAAATGGAAATCCTATTACCGTTGAAGTCAAGCCTCTTCACAATGTCTTAAACGAATGCTCAGAAAAATGCTGAGAATTTCACCTTTCAATCGCAACACTTCTACTGAGGTATCAAACGCTTCATTGAATTGATGGAAAACTTTATCAGATAAATCATAGTTTAATAAATAAGAATTGGTATTTTAAGCACATCACTCTAGTACAGGTAATAGCGGTACCTGTTCCAAGACATCTGTGACGCAAAGAGGAAAGGACTGATGTTTTCGAGGAGAAGCTGCTCCAACAGCAGCGGGTTGACCACCGCTCCGTCTATCCATCACTATCTCTCTTTTCCCCCATTTATCGTTTTCCCCTTTTCTTACCCTTCTCTTCCAGATCTTCCCAACTTCTCACAGTTAGCTTGCTTCTGGAAAATCCTTAACTGAAACAGATATATCAACTATTCTTAATACAAAAGATGATGGCTTAAAGCATGTAGTTAATTTAACACTTTGGTTAATAGGAACAAATATTATCGAAGACTTTAGCTAACTTGAGATCATGACCTTAGCCGGAATATCGCAAAGTTCCTTGTCTTTAGGAAAGATTGCAATGAACTGTGCAGTCACTAATGGATGACTGACTGTTCATTCTCTTACAGATTTTCCATTAGTTGTGTCTTTCAAGCGATTCCATAGAATGGAAGTAAAAAAGAAATAAGCCTACCAAGCCCGCCAAGTAGTTCAGGCCTATGAATCGAATCAATTAGTTTTATCCCAATAACACCCTCACCCGCACATTATGACATCGACTGTCCCCCTTTGAAAACTATTAATTTCCGTTTTCTTTCGGTCCTATCACGATTATCTTCAGAGTTGTTATTTTGACATTTATGAAAGCGCGAGAATTTGGAAATTTTCAATAAGTTTTAAGATTTTTGAAGGCATTCTTATAGGCTGTCTGGTTTTTGCGCTTCAAGGCTCTGGTTAACATGCATTAGAAGTAGGCTGACATACTTTACGGCTTTGGCATAGTTTAAGGCTTATTGCCATATTTTAACTCTAGATAACATTGTTTTAGGACACTAATATCAATTTCCAAATATTTAATTCCATATACGAAGTATGCATAAATAATCATGGTTGGATATTTTGTTTCTTTGTTACTATGTCTTGTTATTTGCTTCCGATACATTATTCTTGGCTGAGTTTAGTCTGTAATATACTCACTGCTTCCTGCACTTTCCCGGAATTATAACCTAGAAGAATCTTATCCCTGTTCATGTGCCTTCTTATCCTTTTTAGTTAGAAGCAATAGCTATATTCTGGATATTCGGTCTGATTATTTGTTCTTTCCAAATATTATTTTATTTTAAAGTGACCATTTTATTGCAAACACACACACACACACACACACACACACACACACACACACACACACACACAAAACATTCTTCCAATGACAGCATCGGATTCCTTTGAAAGAGAAAGGATACTTGTACTAACTCTACCTGTGTGTGTGTCATCGCACTCTCTCTGCTCTTCATGGCTTTATGTCAAAAAAAGACTCGTAAATTTTAGCATTAACCCATTTTATCTAAAATATTTTTAGTAGATAAATTACACCTTGCGGTAGAATTGTTAGAGGCGCAAAAAGGCACTTCCCTCCGAATTCCCTTAGTCTAATTGTGTCGATGTTTTTCCTGCTCGCATTTTACAATACCTCATAATTCAGCTATCTGAGAAATGAGAACCATAATCCAAATTTTAACTACCCTATAAGTTTTTCATTGACATATTGCAAATTCGATGTCTATCAAAGAAAGAAATACTACGCTATAAATTTTGTTGACACTCTTTTCCTGAATAAAAAAACAGATATCTTCCTACTCCTTCGTAACAGTTTTTTCAAAAATATGTTAATAGTTTCTTAACTGATGTTATGTAACATTCGTTCGTCAGTACATTGTGCCATTTTCAACATCAAAATAGCATCCTCCATACTGCACCTATTTTCGATATCTCTCGAATCAAATTACAAACTGAGCGAAGCGAATACGGCACCGTTCATTTTACTTTAATAACATCCTCCACTTTTTTTCATTATTATCATTCCAATCAATTCGGTAAGGTGCTCTTCAATCTTCAAGTTCGTTTCATACATAGAATGGAATAAAAGGAAGAATCCAGTCCGTTTTTATTGATTCGTTAATTCTTATTTTCTTTAGTAAACTTTACTGGATAAGATCTGAAATCAATCGATGATTTTTTTTCTCAAAATTTAAAAGAAAATTTTGGAAATTTCAAATTATACCTAAAACATCGGACAATTGACTTATTGACTTGTTCACTCGCTTATACCTTAGGCCAGTTTTGCATGTCACTCTTAAATACCGTCTTTTACTATCATTCCCTTTTTAAAACATCTTCCAATGAAAGGAGCTTGTCAGAAATCAGAAAATGGATTTTAATTTTAATATAGCAGTATGCTCTTTTTCATGTGTATCAGTCACTAACTCCCCAACGATTAGTAATGGGTCAATTTTTTGGAAAAATAAGAGAAGAAAAAAAGGAATTTGTCCAAGACGAGGTGTTTAGTACTCCAAGTAGGAAGATTGTCCGGCGTGTTGAAATGGATCCAAGATCACCAACCACGACAATACCACGAACGCCTATTGAAGTTGAAAGGTGTGTTTTTAATTCACTGAAAAAAAATATCCCTAAAAAATGGCAAATCGAGAAACAAACCGTAGTTAAGCTGTTCATATAATCATCAGAATGTTTAGTTAAAACACAGCTTTTACATACCAGTAAAATTGTATGCTGTATGCCTGAAAGAAATTTGCGATGTCAACCATAATTTTATCCCATTTAATTTTGTCTCTAATTAAATTATTTGTAATCGTAATCGTTACGGTACCATTTATGTTCATTGGCGGTGAAATTTCTTGTGCTTTTTTTTGGTTTTTTTTAGAAAGTCATTTTTCAGTACGCCGAAATCGAGTGATTCGTCAGTAACTCCGCCCAAAAACAAAAAGAGACGGCAAAAGTTGCACGAAAAACTTCTACGTAAAAGTAATGCTTCATCGAGCACTTGACCTGTGGAGTTAGTATTTGTGTGTATTGAAAATCCAGATAATCATTTTTTTCTTGTAAGTTACAAAAAATCAAATGTATTCCAATTCCAATTAACTGTAAGAGGAATTTGGATAAATATAGCGTGACGTGACGCTATTTTTTTTGTATATCATCTCAAAGGGCTAGCACGATATTAATCAGCTTTATGGTTAAATTTTATCGTACTGCTCAGTAACCAACAAAAACATAGGTCAAAGGTGGCACTAAGTAGGGAAAGACATTTCCTTCAAATGCAATGACATCTTGATAATGTTTTGCAAGTTATAGCTTTTTTATGCACTGTTATTTTTTACCACTATACTTCATTTCTCTTGGATTGTTATGAGATGATCTAACTGAAGCGCATTCAGTTGTAAAACAAACTATGGAATTTTCTGTGAAAAAATCTCTAATTTTTTTATGTCGTAAGTTTCCGATGTCTTATATATTTATGCCGTATTTTGTATAGAGGATTCATATGAATGTCCTGATCACAAAGTTTATATAGAGAGGGCTCATACAAATTGATCATAAAGTTGTTGAAATTAATTTGTACATTGTATTGGATTTGAGATTACTCTAAGATGTTACAATAAAATAGATAGTTGCTCCGACAATCCTTTGCTGCGAAACTTTAAAGATAGGTATTCAGCCTAAAACTGAGATAGTCGCATGCATTTTGAACCTTCTACGATAACAACATGTCCGTATAATTTATAATACTGTATCGTATCTTGCGTTAATTTTCTGACCCACTTTTTTATATTTAACTTCAGCAGCACTTCGCTCGGTTGATAAGAACCCATGCAATGGTTTCATGCAATGAAAACCACTTTGCCTGGAGCACAAATGGATGGAGATGATGTATTCCGCAGCGTTTATTTTGGAAAACACCATTTCAATTTTGTCATGAAAAGTTTGAGAGGCAAATTTTTTCATGCTTGCAAAGAAGTCGATAAAATGGTTAAGTTTCCAATGCTTGCGAAAAAAATGAGATGGAAGAACTTGTCAAGCTTTATTTGAAAATAAGGTATGTGCAAGAAAATTTCAACATCTACAATTAAAAGAATATAAGAAATGAAAACGGCTTTTACATATTCATTAGAATCGTATTAAAATAATATGGCAGTACGCAGAAGAACATTATAAATGTATTTTTTATCATTTTTTTTCACTCTAAGAAATTGATGCTCGGTATTTGATGAAAAAGGTATTATCATAATTAGTTTTGTTTTTTATATTACTTAGTGCCAGGAAATCAAAACAGTAGATTTTGTAATAAAAATGAGTGGGTAGTTTAAAAAATAAAAATATAAACGCGATAATAGGTAAGACAGAGCTAGTTATTAAACAAGTATGGAACAAAATATACAGAAAAAAGAGCCAGATGACTAAACTTAGTCTACTTCTCTATCACAACAATCAGTGATTTAGAGCAAACAATGCTTTGCTTATTATAAAAAAGTATGAACAATGTCACGATGTGCTCAGTTTCGAGATCCGTCAAATAAAGACAATAATAAACAGGTTGGTGCGATAAATATTTTCCAAACAAATCGCATCATGCTGAAATCCAATTTCCAGTTTCAGGGCATTTGCTCTCCAATAATTTCCACCGGCCATTAATGGTGATGACAAGTATCGCTGCAGCTGAATAGGAGCTGACAAGTTCAACAAGAAATTTTTGTACAACAATATAAATTTGTACAGAAGTTAAATTTTCCATTGATTTGAAACAGAAAAAGAACAGAAAAAACCGAAAATCGTATTTTATTTACATGTAATAAAGTAAGCACAAGTTTTAAATCAAATTTTAGAGCCAATGAATCATTTTTCATATTCTCAAAGCACTCTCTATATGGATGCGAAAAAATCTAGGCGATCATTTTTTAAAAAATATTTCCCGTGTACTGGATTATCTTTTGCTTCGAAACTGCAAAGTTATTAGTTAGACAAAATGCTCCCACTTACTTTTTCTTTCCATGATTTTTTTCCAACATAACTTCCTCAAATATTAAATCAAAGTACTGTGACAGATTTGTAAATGCTTCGTCAAATGTTAGCCTTAAAATTCAAAATGGATGAACCTATAGATTTAATCTAAATAATGATTAAAATTTGTTCATCACTAAAACTTATACCTTTCTAAACTTACCAAGTTAGGATTGAACATCGTTGACTGAACATGAATGAACGTTAGTTCCGCAACTCGATGCGATGCATTTTCGGCAAAGGCAAGCACAGATAAGGAAGTAATACGCTTACATCCACTCAAATTTATAGTTTGTAAGACGGGACAATGGCGCGCCAGTGTAGACACGAACTTATCCGTGATCTAAGATTTGTAATAGCAAAAAAATTATGAATGCTAATTTGGAAACAATGGTAATATTGCTAAATACATTCATTTATATCGATATATCTTCATCTTCCTTCATTTTCTTGAATTGAATTACTTCTGGACCATGCTTTCGAAAACGTGCTGTGAAATGTGAAACTTGCTTAGCAGTTCTTAGCAGTAAAAATATTTCGTTCTGGCCGATCCTATTGAAATTCTTAATAAATTACGAAAGAAAAGAAATGTGAATAAAGTTAAAAACAGAATTGGGATTTTCATATTCAAAACTGACAAACTTTTCAATTGCTGAAATTTTGTATGTTCACCTAAAAAATATTAGGTCTGAATTAAATCCCTCCCTCTCCATCATTTCCCACTCTCTAAATCTCGCGCAAATTTTCAAATTCCTACCTAAAAAAGTTTGATTTCACAGCTAATACAATTAACTAAAAGTATGCTAAAAGAGTGGTGATTAACCTGCGCATTATTAGTAACAGATATGTTCGTTAAGGTGTCGAACGATGGAGAAATCATTCTGGCAAACAAAGATTCATTGTCAACTGGGAGCACAACATCTAGTATATACAGTTCCTGTAGGGATTTCAATTTTACGAGTAGCGCAAATGTCCATGGCCGGACTTTTGAGAAATCAACGCCTTGGAAATGCAAGACCCGTAAACATTTCGGTATACTGTTAAGCAGTGCATGAACTGTCGTGTCCGGAATTTGAGTGTCTATTCCTTCCTAAAATCTCATTGTGAAATAAAACTCATTTTTTCATGTCACTCAATCGAAATATTAGTGAATCGGCAATTCACGCTAGCACGTAATGGTTTAGAATACATCCTTTAGCTCTCTCGGATTGTTGATAAACAAAATTGTATTGAATTATCTCTACGAAAGCTAAGCGATCGTCTTATGCTCTTATTAACAGCGTGATGCACTACTGTAAACTTAAAACTAGCCTTTGGTATAAGATTATCCTCGACATCTAAAGTTGCAAGTTTTTTACCAGCAGCTTGAAATAATAGCTGCAACAGAACAGCATGTTTCTGCGCATGTCCGGGACATAAACATATCGAAAGAGTTGCTTCCGATTGGGATGCTTCTAGAAAACGAGTTGAACAAGCTGATGTATCCAGAGAAATATGTACAGCAGTAATATTTGGGACAGAATCCTTCAGTAAATTAAACCATCGACGACATGTAAGTGATACCGGTAAGCGATCGGACCCTGGCAAATAAACAAAGACTGCCCTTAGCATCTCTTCCGGCAATCTCTCCATTGTGCTTCACCTCCTTTATTTCTAAAAATACACTAAGTGAAAAACGATGTTATCGGTGGAAATGATTCGAAATTACAATTCTGGAAATCGATCAGAAATATGTAATGCTAGTAGTCTTATTCTGACAAGAAAAGAAAAGGAATGAAACTAGTAGTATCAAGAAAACCAATATTACAAAAGAGGGAAACGAACCATTGATCTTAGAACTTGCTGTTAGTCTTCACAAAGAGAATAAAATGTCTGGTTACAAGTAATAAAGTTAGTGATATAAATACATTTGAAAATTATTTATCCTGCAAATAAGAACCGTTATTTATATAAATGAGATTATTTTTGCGTGAATGAGCGTGATCACGCCATTTATTATGATATAGTAAATATGAGATAAAACTGAAACGCAGTAAAGACATTTATTCGCGATGAATTTTATTGAGCATCAAATTGAGAAGATCGCATATTACAACATTAATATTCTGTAAGCTTAAATGTTGCTTAAAAACCCCTTCAATATTTTAAACACATACAGGAGAGTTCAATTCAAGCTGTTATAAGTCCTTAATCGATATCTTACGATGAAAATTTTGAATTTAAGTAATACAGCAAATAAAAATCTTGCAACAAATAATAAGAGAGGAGTCATAGTGCAAAAATAAGACAATATGTAATGCATTCTGCGTCAGTTAGCAGCAGACTCTATAACTAACAAGACCTTGAACTAAAACCGGGACACCATTTATGCCGTATTTTAGCATTAATGGATTCATATTCGACATGATACCGCTACTGCTTGATGTAAAAACTTGCTTGTGAAATACATTGTTTAACTCAGCATTGAAGGAAAACAGATTCAATCGGAATTCCAATGGGTGTGCTAGAAAACTATAACAAAAATATTGTCCGAACAATAAATCTCAAAGTTCTATTACATTTAATTAAAAGTGAAACAAAAACATAAAAAAGCGAAAAGAAATTAAGCTTAAGCTAAAGTACATATGACAACACACCTTCTAATTATACGGATCGATCCTCTGTGGCATCCTTAGTGCAAGAAAAGAAGTTTCGAGCGACCTACCCAAAAAAGGGAATCTGTGTTGTAGGAAGACTAGATAGGTCTTTCATGAAACAATAATTACAGCCAGCAAAATCTGCTTCAACCATATAATCTTGCTTAGTATGAGATAAAAAAAAATCTCATTTCATCTGACACATATTGTGCTGAGTTTACCGATCCGATAGATGTATTCTCGTCTCTATCTGAATATTTTTCCTTCATTTCTGTGCAAATTTGAAAATATCATCCTTGTGACCCATCCGAGTCATAAGGATGCTATAATACATAATTTACAGAATCTTTAAGTGTAAAAGAGATATCGACATTGTCTTGGTCATATTTAATCATAAAAAGAAATGGAATGTATTGACATGAATTTACTACCTTTAAATATATAGAACAATGGAATAATGCATAATTTATAGAACAAGCACCACATTAATCATTTTTTTTAAAAAAAATAAATAAATGACACAAACATATCACAACATCAAAACAATTGATTGAAAGCTATTAGGAGTCCGCCCTCACAATACAGCCACAGTTCATCCGCTGATTATCTAATATCTTTATCATACGACACTGCTTATTAAAAAAAGAGTACAAAAATGACATTTAATTTTATGAAAACGAATAAGGTGTATGGATAGAATTATCAAAAGAACTTGAAAAGGAATTCTACATCAGTGAGATGGACTACGTCTTCAAAATCTCAAATTTCTTTATAAGATTGAAGACTCCTGCGATGATCATTTTACTGTCATTACTGACGAAAATCAAGAATATTCCAAGATTTAACAAATCAAACATTCTTTGCTTTTTCAATTAGCTTCCATACTAAATCTTGAAATGATATGTACAAAAAAGTCAAAAACAACAGACCTATCCAAAAAAAGTTTATCCCCAACTTTAGTAATATTTTAATACATACGCATTAATCTGGGAATTTTAACGTTATTATAAAAAACAACGCATTCCCGAAGAATAACTACATCCCAAACCTTGCTGAGGATCTTATAGATGCACAAACTATTCCAGGTTCTGCTATCTGCGCGGATGAAACTGAACGAAGTGAACTTCCTTCTCGTTCCGATTTTTTTATTTCGTTCATTCTGCTAGTCGCCTGAAAAACGACCTATAAAAGAAAACTCAAAACAAAATAATTTTAAAAACGACTGAAGGTAAATCACACTAAAATTAGAATGGAACAACGAAAAACTTTAAGCTGTACTCAAGTAGACAAGATTTAACAATTCAAATCTTTGATATGATCTTAAAAATCAATCATTCCTAATCCTTTCTCCCAGGAAAAAATCAAAATATTACTTGTTTCATTTCTTCTTCCATGTCCCGAATATCTTGTATACTTTGAAGTCTTTTTTCAATCCTACTTGAACCAGCCTCTTTCAAAGAATAGAACATGGGCCCGAGTTCAGCTAACCATTGTGTTTCAACCGATGTCACACATTGCATATATTCTTTAGCTGTCATGATCAGTTCGTGATATACAACGTAATCTGGCATATATCCCATCCCTAAGATAATGAGAAAATCAATAAAATTTTTCTTTAAACTTTAATAGACTCCATATAAATGGGGTAAAGAAACACCACAATAAAGATATGACATCAGAAAATCTGAAAGTCGCAACGGAAGTAGCAGTTTAGCACAACTGCTTTTAACGAAACCGAGGATATCTAAAACACACAACAGAAAGATTCTGTTTTTCAAACCCAAAAATAATATAATCGAATCTTAAATCACTAATTAAATCCAAAAAAATACCGAAAAGTGCGGATGTCGGATGCAGGAAGCAAGGAATCCCTGTTCTTACATTAACATATTCTCCAATTCCTTTCAGCCTGTAACATAAAAATAATATTGTAGAAATGAAATAATTCTTCAATACGTACAAAAGTTGATTTCAGTTCACTAACCTTGCAGCATTATGAAAATATGCTGAACAAATGCATTTTCGTATAACATCCCAATCCGTACCACATGATATCAGTTCAATTTTCTGTTTCTCCATAATATCTTTCAGTTGGGCGCGAACCTATAAGCATAAAAATTAATATTTTCAATCAAAAAAGAGTAGGATAAATCAGAAATGGCAAGATTTAGATGATGAAAAACAATGAATAGTAAAAAGAGTAGTCTGACCTCCCGAACTTTCTTCATAGCTTTAATATGGATAAAATTGTCGTTGCACCATTTCGTCGAATATTTATGAAGTCTCCACTGCAAATAGACGTTCAG